CTCACGCAAGGAGCAGGAGACAGCTGCGCGAGTCTACAGCCACCTGAAGAGGTGGGCACCCTGTCCCAGCCCTGGGGGTGGGGCGCAGAGGGAGCGGGTGAGTGACAGGGTCTCACCGTGCCTCCCTGTAGCGTCCTCAAGGACCACTGTGTGCAGCACCTTCCTGATGGCTCTGTGACCGTGGAGTCCATCCTCATCCAGGCCGCTGCCCACTCAGAGGACCCAGGCACCAAGGTGCTGTTGGTCTCCTGGACATACCAGGTAAGAGGTGGGGCCCAGGGGTCCTGCACCTGGCAGTGGGTCAGGACAGTCAGGATCACCCCATCACCCTGGGCTGCCCAGGTGCGGGGGATGGGGAGGATGGGACAACAGCCCCCTCTTGCCTCTGGCTATAGGATGAAGAGTTGGGGAGCTACCTCACGTCACTACTCAAGAAGGGCCTGCCACAGGCCCCCAGCTGAGGCCAGCCGACTGCCAGCCAGCCATCTCTGCCCTTTGCCCAGCTGGAGGAACCTGGGCTTCTGCTCAAAGACTGCGTCTGTGCCCCAGGTCTTGCCTCCGTGTCCTGGATGTGAGTGGTAGCCCTTCTCCTCAGGGACAAGACCCTAGTGTCATGTGCCTGCCTGAGTGGCCGTTTTTGGCTGAAGAAATAAAAGGGCCTGAGGACCTCTTCACCTTTTATTTCTACTCCCTGACTCCCAGGAGATGGGTGGGGGCTCCCGAGGTATTAATTTCCAATAAAGACAGAACCGAGGCTACTTGGCTGTCCCCTTCTTGGTGCTTGCAGCCTGCCACTGTGGCAGCCCAGCCAGGGCACCCAGGCGTTGGGGACTTCAGGCAGGCACGAGCTAACCAGAGGCAGCAGGCCACTGCAGCTTCAGGCGGTGGAGTGCTTGACAGTTCAGGCTGGTCCCTGCTGGGCACAGTGGCAGGCAGAGCTGGGCAGGGTCCAGCGGCTGGGCCTAGTGTGCCATGGCTGCCCTGACCATGGCTGGGCACCCGAGGGTCATCTGTGGCTTCTGTGCTGTGGATCCTGCAGGACATAGGCCAGGAGCTTTGGGGCCACAGGAGGCAGGACCTGTGGACAGACCCTACGTCAGTTTGGAGGCAGGGGGTTGTCTGTAGCAGCTGGGCTGCAGAGCCCCCCCCTTTGCCCCAGGGTTCAAGCCCCTCCCCACTGCCTCCTGGAGCCCCCTCTCTGCCACCCTCCCTGACTGGAAGCTCACTCAGAGGGGCCAGGTCAGGAGTGGGGCTTGGGCTGAGGGGTTGTGGCCGCAGAGAAAGTGGGCACCTCACTCCAGGCCGCCTGCCTTTGGGCCTCTGGTCTCTGGGCTGAAGTCATCTGGCTGACGGTCCCACTGGGCCCAGGCTGGATTTCCAGTTGCTAAGATGACAGATGAGAGCTATGATGGCGCTGTCACCAAGAGCCCCCTCCCCCAGTGAGGACCCAGCCCTGAGAGGGGATCAATCAGTGGGTACAGACAGGGCCCTTCCCAGGCCACCTCCTCTTACCAAGGTCCCCATGGCCTCCGTAAAGCACTGACTTCAGGAACAAGCCATGGGCTGGGGCCACACGCGTCTGGTGCCTGCCCAAGGGGTCCCGGCTCTCCAAAATCATCTTCACCTGAGCAGGCGTCAGAGCCCCCAGCCCCACAGCCACCAGTACAGCCGTCATCCTCCGTACCTGCAACCCAAGGCCGAGACTGCCACAGTGGCCTGAGCCCCGCCCCTGCCCCTGGGAGGCCCCAGGACAGAGCCCACCTGTCTGTACAGGAATGACTGGCTCTCGAACTCCAGGCTCCAGAACCGCAACCTCCTGGAGAGACAGGCACCTGTGACATCTGGGACACAGGCCAGGCCCAGCCCACAGTGTGGCCCTGACAGGGAGGGGAACGGGACAGGGGTCACGGGGAGATTAGTTCCCACCCTCTCTTCCACCCCAGGGACCTCCACTGACCACCCTACCTCTAAATGAAACCAGTGGGAGGGAGATTAAAACCAGACAACTAATGCTTTCGAGGGGGAGGGACAACAGGGTCTTCTGGGGGCCTTGGCTGTAGGGACCAGGCCCTCAGGTGGAGGTGCTGCTGAGGCTGAGGTCCTCGTCTGGGCTTTGGGGCAGCTGAGGGAAGGGAGCATGGCCAGCTCATCTGCCAGAGACCCAAGCCTCAGGCCAGAGGTTCTTCAGTGTGAGTCTAAGGCTGGCCATGCAGAGGTCTCTTCTCCCTCCAATGCTGGCCCAAACTGTCCAGGTTCTTGAAGTCAGTAGCTGCCATGTGGCTGGAGGCCCCTGGGACAGTGCTAGAGGCAGTGGAACCATCCCCGCTGCTGGGCTGGGCCAAAACCACTAGCCTGGTGCTTCTCCCACGTGGGGCTTTTTAGCAGCTGCCCAGATCCACCTGCTGGGCAGCAAGCTCTGAGCAGGGCAGGGTGCCCTCGGAGAAAGACAGCCTTCTGTTCTCTCTTCCCAGCCTGGCAGGGACCCCAGCCCAGGGGAAAGGCACAGTTGCAGGTTCATGGGTGCCACTCAACTGCCTGGCATGCCCACAACAAGGCCTCACAGGTGCCCAGGGATCCCCAAGTCCAGCCACATCCTGCCTCTGCACCGCCCTCGCCAGGGAAGGTGCTGGAGCTCAATCCAGCCCCCATAGCCTCCAGACAAGCATGCAGGCCACCCTTCCTCACCTGCTCTCCTGCGGGAGGACAAAGGGGCTGGGCAGGTCAGGGGACACTGAGGCTCGGCGCAGTGTGCGCACTGAGCTTGTGGTTGGGCTGCCAGCCGATTGGAAGGCGCTGAAGTCATGTGTCCCCAGGAGGTGCTGGGCAGCCTCCTCCATGGCAGCCACATCCAAGCTGCTGCGAGGAGTCAGGTGAATGGTCAGGAGAGAATAGCCGGCAGGTGGGCCTGGCACCCCTCCCACTCACCCTGACACCCACACTCACTCTGCTCGCAGCGCCCAGCACCGGTTTTGTTCAAAGACAGACAGCTGGTCAGGCTGGGGGCAGCCAGTGGCCAGGCGGTACAGATAGGTCCTGGAAGTGGCTGAGTAGCGGGCATGGAAGTCGCTGGGCACACGGAAGGCCTGGAGTACCCTGCGGGAGCAAGGCCAGGCACACCAGAGTGACCCCGCCAGCCCAAGTGACACCTTGGTATCCTGTCTCATCACTCCTGAGCAAGTTCTGTCCAGACACTAAGTCCTTCCCAACCTGCGGTCTCCATCCATAGTGGACGAGTAGGGGGCAGGGGAGAGCAGAGTGATGCTCACCGGATGGCCGGGTGCCTCAAGTGGGTGTTGAGGGCCTTAGCCAGGACCTCAGGGGAGAAGGGCGGTTGGCCTGAGCGGCGCTGGACGTCCAGGTGCGCCGCGTTGCTCAGGGCGTGGACCCCGGCATCCGTGCGGCTGGAGATGGTGAGCTTGACCGGCACGACTGAGTTCAGCCGCTCTGCGGCCTCCTGCGGGGACAGAGCCGCCGGGGGCGGGGCGAGAAGCTCGGGGCGAAGACTGGAGCCGCGGGGGACGGCTCTCCGAACCCCTATGGGCGCGGGGGTTCCCATCTGCCCCTCCCCGGGGTCGCCCTCCTCCATCCCTGCAGCCGCCGGCGGAGCTCACCTCCAGGTAGTTCTGGACCCCGATGGCGCGCTGGGCGCCCCTCACGGCCGCGACCCCGCTGCGGGGAGAGGCAGGGAAGTGAGCGCTCGGAGGCTGCAGCCCCGGGCCCGCCCCGCTCTCTGAGCCCTACGCGGTCGTCCCTTCCCGGTGTCCGCCCGAGGCCGCTGAACTTAGCGCCCGCTCTCCCCTAGGGCCCCGGGTCGCCGCTCTCCGGGTCAAGCTCCGGGCTTCCCGCGGCGCCGGTCTACCCGTTGGGGCGCGGGGACGGCGGGAGTTCCGGGGACGTACTTGAAGTCCGTGCCCAAGTACTGGAAGTACACGAGGTAGCGCGTCCGCACCGAGCCCGCCGCCGCGCCCGAGCCCATGGCGAAGCGAGACCGGGCGGGGCCGTACCGGACAGGGCACAGCCGGACCCGCCGCAGCGGGACCGGTCTCGGGCCCACGTGGACTCCCGCGGGCGCGCACGTACCCTGACCACGCCCCCAGTCATCCGCACGCCTGCGCCCTGCGTTCGCCCCGCCCCGGCAGGCCGCCCAGGGCAGGCGCGGAGGCGGGGCTAGGCTTAGGGACCACGTGCAAAGTGCCGGCCCGCTGCGGAGCGCGAGGGCCGGATCCGGCAGCCGCGCTGGGGGAGACACTCTCTCAACCTCGCGCCGACCCGCGGGCTCCTGCGTGCACTCACCCACTAGCCCACCGCTCATCCCCGTCCTCCCGGAGGGTGTCCGTCTGCTGCGTTCAGGGCAAGCGGTTTTTGCAAACTCCCCAAGTTGTGCTACGGCCGGATCACCTGAGCGGTGGGGTAGCGGGGGCGTCGCGTCCTCCTGGCGCCCCGCGGCCCGCCCGACGGCTCCCGAAGCTCGACTGTTGCGGACCCGCCAGTTTCCCGACCCGGGGCGGCGGGGCGGCGGGACGTCGGGGCGGCCGGGCCGGAGCTGGGCGTGCCCGCGGCCGCAGGGAGTGGCGTTTGGCGACAGTCCCCGGCGGTGACAGCGGGCGGCGCGCGAGGGCGGCAGACTTTGGCGACGGTCCCCGGCGGTGACAGCGGGCGGCGCGCGCAGGCGGCGGACTTTGGCGACGCTCCCCGGCGGTGACAGGCGGGGCGGGGCGGCCGCGCGGCGGCCTCATTCCGGGGCGGGCGGGCGCCGAGCGCGGGCGGGCGGGCGCCGAGCGGGCCGGGCCGCCGGGGATGCCGCTCGGGGCGCCGCGGTCCTCGTGCCACTGAGCGCCGCGCGCCGCCGCAGCCATGACGGTGGAGTTCGAGGAGTGCATCAAGGACTCGCCGCGCTTCAGGTGCGCCCGCAGCGCCGCGGCCCTTTGTGGTCGGCGGGGTGGCCGCCCCCTCGGGCCGCCGGGGACGAGCGCGGGACGGGGGCGTCGGGGCCGCCTTTGCAAGGGCGCGGGAGCCGGTGACGGGAGCCGGAGCACTCTCCTGGACAAAGCGCGCAGCGCCGCGGCGCCGGGGCCGGAACAAAAGACGCCCCAGTGCCGGGCACCGCGCGGAGGGCGCGCGTGGGGGCGGGGCGGCGCAGCCCCCTCTCGGTAGAGCGTCCTCCCCTGCTTTGTGTCTGCACCTTCGTGCTGGCCACTGCGCGGGGCTGACACCCCCCAGGCCCTGAGTCCGGCTCCGGCCGGGGTTGTCCGGGTGCGTGGGGCGTCTGTCCTGAAGTCTGTCTTAATCCATGTGCCCAGAGCAGTAATGGGGGGACAGACGTCTGGAGCCGCGTCTAGGGCCTGGGTCTGGCTGCCTGGCAGGGGTGACCTGGGGAGTTGGGCTGAACAGACTTGTGTGAGGTTCTGGGCTGTGCAGTCCCTGGGTTTGTGTTTTTAGTCCTTCTTGGAAGGGCAGGCATGGTCATTCATGTGCAGCACATGTTTCAATGCGTGTACATCTGCCTTCACGTAGCACCCCTGTGTGCCAGGTGCACACATGTGAGCTCTGCTCCTCTGCACCCTGCCTTGAGGTGCCAGACCCTGCATGAATGTGTGGGTGTGTTCCACCCGGTGCTGGGGTGCTTGATGCATACGTGTAGACTAGCGATGGTTGCGTGTGCATGCGTCCCCTCGATGTGGATGCATACACGTACTGTGTGTTCATCGTGCACGTATGAGTTTTGCCACTAAACACACATGTTAGTTTGCGTGTATCCCAGCCCTTGATATACATATCTGTGTACATGTGTGCCCCATATCCACAAGTGCACAAGTCTGTGTGTGCACTGTGCCCCTACATGCATGTACACTTGATTGCACATGAACATGTTTACAGTGCCTCCGTGCACATGTGCATTTGGTCACGCATGTGTGTGCGTGCTAGGTCTCTGGGGGTGTGCCAGCGACAGGGCCTGTGCGTGGGTGTCTCAGTGGGCCTGGGCATCGCTGCTGCCACCCCTGAGTCCCTAGGGCTAGCTCCTTACACAACCACCTCAAAAGGGAGTCAGCAACAAAGGCCTGAGGAGGCTGGGGGTTCAGGGTCAGGGGTCAGCCCAGAGAGTGGCCCCATGCCTTGAGCAGAGGGGCCGTGGGTGGTCCTCTCTGTTCTCCCATCTTCCGTTGCTGACTGATTGAGGGAGGGGGTGTGAACAGCTTGGACACCCACGATCCTGGGCCCCCAGCACTGCCCACTGTGCTCCAGGGCCCAGGGGCAGGGAGGCATAGCTGGGCCCCAGCTGGGGCTCAGTTCTGGCTGAAGCCCCCTAGCCTCGCCCTGGACCCTCACTCAGAAGCCTCATGCTCCTCCTTGCCCTGTCATGTCGTGGGCGCTGGCAGCCTGCTCTCCTCCCGGCCTTTCCTCCTTCACCAGCCTGCTTTGCCTGTGGCGCCCGCAGTGGGAGTGGCGGCTGCCTGGGCTTTGCGTGCCTCCTCCGGCAGGGAGGGGCTGCCCAGGAAAGTGCCAGCCCGGCCTGGGGTGGAAGCTGAGGAGATTCACTCAGACCCTGGATCACAGAGGCCACCCTGGGTGGGTTTGGGGGTTGGGCTGAGATTTGATAGGGGTTTGAGGCTGTCCTGGGGTCCCCCTGTCTGCTCAGCCTCAGGTGCTGGTGAGGATGTAACCTGGACTTCCTGGCAGCCAACCTGGGGCTGCCCGGGTGGGGCCATGCTGGAGGATGTGGTCAGTGATAGGGAGCCAAGTGGCCCCAGCCTTGGGAAGGGACACTCTGCCTGCATGCTCTTGGCTTGGGGAGAGCCCCAGAGCCCCGGGATGCACTTGGCTGGGGGGGGTGGGTCCAGACTCTCCCACACAGGCCTGGGGAGCTGCCCACCCCTCGTGCTTGTGCCCCCTCCCCTGGGTGGGGCTTTAGGCGCTGAGTCATAGCTTCGGTGGGGAGCCAGCCACTCCCTCCTCCCCACCCTCCAAGCTGTGAGGAAATCCTGGAGTAAGGGCAGGAGAGGAGGCTTTGGGTCTTTGGGGCCTCCAGGGGGAGAGCTGAGGGGCATGGGGCCCCCAGGACAGGACTCTGGCTCTTGGCTCTGCTGAGCACCCACCTTGCCCCCATGAGTACATTCGTCAGCATCTGGCACAGCCCGACCCTTGCTGGTTCTTCAGGGACCAGGCCACCCGACCCCCAAGGACAGCAGCTCTCCTGCAGGGCAGTTGGGGTGGCTGGGGCTCCAGGGACCATGTCTCCCTCTGCAGCATTCTCTCCTGGGTGGGTGGTCCTTCCCTGCCCTGGCACCCCAGGGACCATGTCTCCCTCTGCAGCATTCTCTCCTGGGTGGGTGGTCCTTCCCTGCCCTGGCACCCTTGGAGGTAGGGGAGAGGCTACGGCAGCGGTCAGGGTCCCCAGGGTCCGAGCCTCCCACAGTTGGCCATGCTTCAGGCCACACCTCCATGCGGTTCGGGCTGGGCAGCTGAAGGACAGTCCTGGGTGGGCTGCGGGCTATCCTACTGGGGCGTGGACAAATGTCCCCTCTCACCCCTCCCTGCTCAAGAACTCAGAGTTCCCTTGGGGGCTGCTCAAAGAGGAGCTGATGTCCTGCCAGAGAGGACAGTGGGGACCTTCTACCTGGGGCTCTCTTCACAGTTCCTAATTGAGGGCACACTGAGTTATGCCAAATGTGAGGGACTAGGTCCCTCCCCCTAGGCCTGGGAAACCCTGGATCACGCCCCTCCCCCACCGGCCAAGGGGGCAGCAAGGGGCCACTAGAACTGGGCGGCCTCCCCTCTGCCGGCCCTGCCCAAGTCTTGTCCCTGGAGGCCTGGCCTGAGCCCCATCCCCATCGTCCCTCGTCCCCCGGAGGCCAGATGGGCCCAGCTCCCAGCCAGCTGAGTGGGTTGGGGGGTGCGCTGGGATCCTGGCCCTGTTTCCCTATTTCCTGTTCCCGGAGCCTTGGAGGGGGGGGGTGGTCACGTGCCCAATCCATCTGCCTCTGCCTTCCGGGGATTCTCCGGCCAGTGGCTTCTCTGGTGATGTCATATGTTAACTCTTCCATCCCCGAGGCCGCCCCGTTGTCCGTTGTGGTGTTGCCCCAGTGGGAGTGGGCTCCTCTGAGGCCTGACCCACCCCTCCCTCCAGGCAGACTGTGCCGTTTGGTGTTTTGAGGTGGGGAGAGTTGGAGGGCACAGCTCCGCAGCTGTGGGGGTCTCATGGGCTCTGGCTGAGACAAGTCTGCTCTCGGGTCCCATGGGCCCAGGCCCGGATGGGCTGAAGCAGGAGCAGAAGGGTCAGGGGGTGGGGTCCAGGTAGGGTCTGGGGTCAACTCTGAGTCCTAGGGAGGGGTGAGGGCGGGGCCGAGGGCATGGCCAGTGAGGCTTGGCCTGGCCCTGCTGTGCACCTCCCCTGGGGCTCCGGCCCCTCCCTCTGTCCTCAGGGGCTTGTCTGATCTTCTCTCCCTGGGGCCGCGGCAACCAGACCCCAAATGGGGCATCAGAGCCAACTGGGCCTCTTCTTGCCTGGGGTGGTAGTGGGCCTGGGTCTCTGGAATCAGCTGGAGCTGGGTCCCAGTCCTGCCTCTCCTCCCAGGGCAACATCTGCCTCTCCCAGCCTCCATCTCCTGGCTTGTCTGAGGGGCGTGGATGGCAGGTGGGCCCACAGGAGCAAGTAGACATCGGCTGAGCAGCCCCCTCCCACTGAGGACCCCTTTGGGGAGGTGCCTGGGGAGATGAAGGCCCAGCCTAACCTGGTTGGTCTCTAACCACCTCCATTCTAATTGCAGGGCGACTCTCGACGAGGTGGAAACAGATGTGGTTGAGATCGAGGCCAAGTTGGACAAGGTAAGAGGCAGGGCCAGGTATGCCCGGAGGGTCCTGCTCTGCCCCTGCTTCACTCACATTTCATGCAGTCATCCATGTGTGCACGTGAGCCTGCGTGCGTCACACATGGGCGTGCTGCCTGCACATACCAGGCACAGGACGCGGGTCTGTCCCTCGTTTGTCCCAGCTGTGGCCTGCCCTACCTGTTCTGGGTGCACATGCTGCATGCACACGTGTGTCTGCCCTGGGTCTCCTCACATGCATGGGGGTGGGCCGTGGAGAGTCCCCTCTGCTGTCTTTAGGGTGGGGACAGCTGCTGTGCTTCTGAGTATCTGGGTTGGGGTCCAAGGGCAGGAGCAGGTCAGGGGAGGAGGGGACAAGCTTCAAAGCCAGAGGGAGGAAGGAGGGGCAGGGTCCCTGAGCCCCCTCACTGGCTGTTTCTGCTGACCGTTGGCCAGGACCATGCACCGATCCCACCCCTGGGTTCCCTGCTGGGGCTTCCCCGTCGTGCTCCAACCTCCTGCTCTGGAGGGAGCCAAGGTCCAGGTGGTGCCACGCTGTCCTCCCAGCGCCAGGCAGTTTTGGGAGGGTGGGCGGGCAGGGGCAGCCCCTCCCCAGCCCAGGGCTGCTCAGGTACAGCTGTGGCCTGGACTCTTGGCAGTGGTAAAGGCTGGTGCTTGCAGGTGACGTGGTGAGTGTTGCTCCCTCTGTCCTGTCCACAGCTGGTCAAGCTGTGCAGCGGCATGATCGAGGCCGGCAAGGCCTATGTCACAACCAACAGGCTCTTCGTGAGCGGCGTCCGTGACCTGTCCCAGCAGTGCCAGGGTGACACCGTCATCTCGGTGAGGGGGGCAGATGACCTCTGACCTCTGATCTCTAGTCAGGGGCAGGCACGGGCTGGCAGCCCCTCAAGGGTGCCCAGGCCCTGGGAGCAGGTGGGCGTCTGCACTGGGTTACAGGGGCAGCTCTGTGGCCTGTGGGCAGGGAGGTACTGGGCACTTAGGGGGCATGGCTGTCCCATCTGAGTGAGGGGCCTCCCCCCAACCTGCTTCCCCCCAGGAATGTCTGCAGAGGTTTGGAGACAGCCTGCAGGAGATGGTCAACTACCACATGGTAAGCCCAGACCGGGGTGGAGGCCTGTCCAAGGGCACGTCCATCCAGCTTCCTCATCGCTGTCATCCCATCCCAGGCAGCGCCCCCACTGGCTCCCCGCAGGCCCCGCCCAGCCTGGAATGCTCTCGCTGGGCTGGCTCAGAGGGAGCTGAGCTGGCTGGCGGCTACGGGAGGAGGCCACGTTTCTGCTCCTTGGTCTGTGGGGGTGGGGCCATCACTGAGGTGTTCTGCTGTGTCCAGGTGAGGGCCAGACAATGAGAAGGTCCTTGGATCCTGGGGATGGGAGGAGGTAACACAACCCAGGGCTGCAGGCAGTGGGGTCTCGAGGTGGGGGAGGCCTTAGAGGTTCATCCAGGGCCCCCTAACTGGGCAGGGCTTTCCAGCCAGGTGCCAGGTGGCGGGAGCATCTCCCAGGCTGACCCCACAGCCCTTGGATGACTCCTGACCTCACTGCTGCCTGGGCTGGGCTGGGTCACCTCGAGCCCCTCGGGGGCCCCCAGCACAGACACACAGAACAGGGACCAAGGCACACGTAGGGGGGTCAGACCGTGGCCTGGGAAACAGAGCCTCAGACTAAACAAGGGGCCCCACCCCGCAGGGGAAGTTCAGAAATAAACCCGCTCAGGACAGGTCGTCCTGCCCTTCTGCCTGTCTATCTGCTCCTGGCTAGGGCCCAGCCCTACCCCCGGGTGAGAGGATCTGATTCTGGGTCCAGTCAGTGCTGTGGGGAGGCCCCTCCAGCTCCTGACAACCACTGCACCCCCTCCCCAGGCCAGGTCCCTCAGGAGCTCTGGGCTCTGACCTATCTTTCCACTGCAGGGCTGGTCATCTTCAAGGTGACCTCTCAGGGCCAGGAGGCAGTGGGTGTCGCTTGGTGCCCTATGGGCCAGCATGAGGTGTGGCTGTAGGAGGGGCCATCTGGGACACCTGGGCCTTTTGTCTGGCCGAGAGCCAGGTGGGGGAGACAGGCAGGTGATCACAGCTGTCGCCTCTGGGTGCCAGCCCAGGCCTGGGGGCCGTACCCACTCCCCTGGCTCTACTGGAGTGACCAGCTGGGTCCCAAGCAAGCTGAGCGGGGCTTTCCCTGGTTCTCACCTGGGGGATAGGGGCCGGACCCCAACACCCCCACCCTCCCTCGGCCCCCAGATCCTGTTTGACCAGGCCCAGAGGTCCGTTCGGCAGCAGCTCCACAATTTCATCAAAGAGTGAGTGACCCCATGACCCTCAGACCCCCGGGGGAGGCCTGGCCTCTCCTGTCTCTGGGAGGGGTCAGCAGTGACACCTGTGCAGGAGTAGGGAGCAGACGCAACTATGCTTGAACTGGGGAGGATTCTAGAGCTGAGGCCTCCAGGCTCAGGGAGGGGGCGCTCAGCAAGGGCAAGGCTGAGAGGTGGGACGTGGCTGGGGCTGAGGAAACAGCGTGCCTGAAGGGCAGGGCAGGGATCAGGGAGCACTGAGGGCAGCCAGCAGGGCCTCAGGCCAGGGGTGCGGGCCAGACCATGAAGGGACTTAGGGTCATGGTGGGAGGAGGTGGGGCTGGACCGGGGTCTGAGCTTGGCGCCTGCATGTGCAGTTGAGGTGTGTCGGGATCCCCGAGTGGAGATGTCGAGTTGAGTTGGGTATGTGAGTCTGGAGTCTGGGGCAAGGCTAGGGGTCGCTCCAGGCTGCAGCGAACCTGGGAGTAAGGTAGTGGAGGGTGAGGGGGAGGCCTTGAGCCAGGGGAAGGGGCCTGGCTGGAGGGGGAGGGAGATGAAGCGAAGTGGGGACAAGAGGGATGGTTGCAGGGGCAGCAGGGCTGGGACAGGGAGGCCCTGCCTGGGAGCACAGAGAGTGGCTGGGAACAGAGGGAGGGTGTCTCGTGCAGGTGGGAGACCCCATGCGCACCCCTTCTCAGACTCTGACCTAACGCCCACCGGCCGCAGGGATGTGCGGAAGTTCAAGGAGACTAAGAAGCAGTTTGACAAAGTGCGAGAGGACATGGAGCTGTCCCTGGTGAGGAATGCCCAGGCCCCGCGGCACCGGCCCCATGAGGTGGAGGAGGCCACGGGCGCCCTGACCCTCACCCGGAAGTGCTTCCGCCACCTGGCACTGGACTACGTGCTCCAGGTCAGCCACTGGGCATGGAGTGGTCGTGTCCCGGAGGCGGGCGGGAGCTGTTCCTGTGTTCCTGCAGACAGATGGAGCTGGCATCTCTAGGGGCCCCTCTGGCTCGAGAAAACCCGAGATGCCAGATCTTGGGAAGGGACGTGGGGGAGGTGCCCAGGCAAAGGCCCAGAGGTGGAGGTGGGCTGCGCACAAGGCCAAGGCTGGGGCTGTAGGCTGCAGGGGGTGGAGGCCTCAAAGACCTTGCTGAGGAAGGGCTTGGAGGGACCTGGAGCAGGGGTGAGAATTCCTGGCTTTGCCTATGGGAGGGACCCTGTCTTGACATGGGAAAGGACTCTGGGACCATGGGAGGGTGGGGCTGGCACAAGTGCAGGGAGCTGAAGACAAGCTGGGAGTCTCAGGGTACCACAAGCAGCCTGAGGGGATGCTGTGGCAAGGTACAAGCGTGGGTGCCTCAGCCCCGACACGCTCACCTGTTCACCCCCCCGGCAGATCAACGTCCTCCAGGCCAAGAAGAAGTTTGAGATCTTGGATTCTGTGAGTGCGTGGTGAGGGGCGGGCCAGGGGCTTGCCCTTGCATCCAGGTGTGTGCGGTGGGCATGCTGGGTGTGGGTGCACATGTGGGGCCCTGCCACTGCTGCTGAGCGCCGGGCCTCCCATGCCCCCCACTGCAGATGCTGACCTTCATGCATGCCCAGCACAGCTTTTTCCAGCAGGGCTACAGCCTGCTGCACCAGCTGGACCCCTACATGAAGAAGCTGGCTACCGAGGTGCGTCTGCAGGGAGGGTGGGGCTGGGCTGGGGGTTGGGCTGGGGGGTGGGAGGGTCACCTCCTTCCGTGACGCCCCTTCCCCACAGCTGGACCAGTTGGTGATTGACTCAGCAGTGGAAAAGCGTGAGATGGAACGCAAGCATGCCGCCATACAGCAGCGGGTGAGGCCCTACAGCCCCTGGCCTCCCTGCACGGAGGGGACCCCAAGAGGCCACCACCCCTCGGCCCCTCTCCATGCCGCTGACCTGGGAGCCCATCTGCGCGTACATTCCCTCTCTTCTTCTGGGCCCACCCCCACGTAGGGGCTGACAGGGCTTCTCTTTGGGATGTGCAGTCAGAGGTGGAATGGGAGGGGTGGCCCTACTCTCAGGGCTGGGTGGGCAGAGGGGCCAGCCCCCTCAGCGCACAGATGCCAGGGCTACAGCCAGGATCCGGGGTCTCCTTCCTTCGAGGCCAGTGGTGGCCTGTGGGGCTTCAGTCACTGGCTCCTACTGGAGCTTCCTTGCTCAACCGCCAGACAGCTGCCTCCGCACTGCCCAGAGCAGAGGTTGGCTGCAGGCGGGAGTTGCTATTTCAGGACCACAGGGAGCCTGGCGGGGTGGGGGGCAGGGCCTTCACTCACTGGCTCTCTCTCCCTCCTTCCACCTATCCCTGCTTGGCTCCTCAAGACGCTGCTGCAGGTGAGGAGGTGTCCACCCTGGGGAAGGGGGGTAGGGGGGAGGACCAGGAGCCCGGACCTCTGCCCTCCCCCACCCCGAGGCACTTCAGCACCAAGGACACCTCCCGCCAGCCTCAGAGCTCCCCAGGCACCTGTGCCTTATTCCTTGTAAGCCGCGGCTGGCACCAGCAGGACCTGGGCTGAGCCGGGACTGCGTCCCCCATGGGAGTGGCAGCAGCTGTCCCTTCCTGCCCCCACTCATCCAGGGGAGCAGGTGGCTGGGCCTCCTCTCCTACCGCCCGACACACAGGACAACACTCAGTGTCTCCCCGGCCCGCGTGAATGGAGCTCTGTCAGGCCGCGGAGCAGGCCCAGCTGGCGACATGAATGGGGGACTCAGGATGGGCGGAGGCAGTTTCCTTCCTGATCCCAAAGCCTGCTGTCCCTCCAAGCCTGGGGGTGGGGGCTGGAGCTCTCAGGGCCCCAGCTGTGATGTGAGGTGTCTGCCCCCAAGGGGGTTCGGAGCAGGTGCCTTGCTCGGGTCAGGAAGTAGCTGTGAAGAGCAGCGCCCCCCCTCGACCTTGGCTCTGGGGGAACCTGGGAGGGTGGCTGTGTCCTCACAGCCGGGGGTGGGTGCTCACTGCACCCGGGCTCCCACCGCCCCCAGGACTTCTCCTATGATGAGCCCAAAGCAGAGTTTGATGTGGACGCGCCCAGTGGTGTGGTGATGGAAGGCTACCTCTTCAAGAGGGCCAGCAACGCCTTCAAGACGTGGAACCGGTGAGGGAGGGGCCTTCCTCTGGGGCTTGTGGGGCAGCCATGGGGGCTGGCCCTGCCTGACCCCCTCCTGGCCTGTCCACCTGCCCAGGCGCTGGTTCTCCATCCAGAACAGCCAGCTGGTCTACCAGAAGAAGCTCAAGGTGTGCTGCTGGGGCCAGGACCCTGGGGTGGCTGCTCAGTGGGTGTCGCACAGGCTGAGGACACTGACGGGCACCAAAGCCTGAGTGGTCATCAGACAGACCCCTTGGGTCTCAGACAGTCTGTGTCTCTAAAGCGGCACGATAAATGGGTGGTCAGGGCTGGGCGCTGACCGTGAGGGCCACGGTGTGCCGCCCACAGGATGTGTTGACCGTGGTGGTGGATGACCTCCGCCTGTGCTCCGTGAAGCCATGTGAGGACATTGAGCGGAGGTTCTGCTTTGAGGTCGTGTCACCCACCAAGTGAGGAGGCCCAGCCCGGGGTGGGTGGGGGAGGGTGCCCCGCCACCCAGCCTGATGGCCCCTCCCCCCAGGAGCTGCATGCTGCAGGCTGACTCCGAGAAGCTGCGGCAGGCCTGGGTCCACGCCGTGCAGGCCAGCATCGCCTCAGCCTACCGGGAGAGCCCAGACAGCTGCTACAGTGAGGTGTGGCCCTCCTAGCACCCTCCACATGCATGCACGTGCCTGGGTGCCACAGGGAGATGGCCTCTGCAGTCTGCATGCAAGCGTGCGCGTGCAGTGTCAGCATGTGTGTGTGAACTCTGTGTGTGTGCACACACGTGTGTAAAGGCTTGTGCTTCGGGGCCCTAGCCTGTGCTGGCATCTCTGGCTGGGGAGGAAGAGGGGCTCCTGGGGAAACTGAGCCTGGAGCTCCTGTAGGGCTGAGTGCCCCTCACACCATCCCCAGAGGCTGGACCGCACGGCATCCCCATCCACGAGCAGCATTGACTCAGCCACGGACTCCCGGGAGCGCAGCGTCAAGGGCGAGAGCGTGCTGCAGCGTGTGCAGAATGTGGCTGGCAACAGCCAGTGCAGCGACTGCGGCCAGCCAGACCCCCGCTGGGCCAGCATCAATCTGGGGGTGCTGCTCTGCATCGAGTGCTCAGGCATCCACAGGTGGCCCACTGGGTGGGCCGGAGCGGGTGCTGGGGCGGGGCTGCGCCTTGACACCTACCCTGACTCATGCCTGCCCCCTCTGCCGTCCAGGAGCTTAGGTGTCCACTGCTCCAAGGTGCGGTCCCTGACTTTGGACTCATGGGAGCCAGAGCTGCTGAAGGTGCGTGTGGGATGGTTGCAGGCCATCAGGCCGCTGGTGGGCGAGTTGGGGGCAGGAACCCGTCTGCAAGCTTGGGGGTTGTGAGCTGAGTTGATGCCTGCACTCCCTGTTCCCTGCTAGCTGATGTGCGAACTTGGAAACAGCACCATGAACCACATCTATGAGGCCCAGTGCGAGGGGCTGGGCAGCAGGAAGCCCACGGCCAGCAGCCCCAGGTGAGGTGGGGGGCAGCCTGGACAGGGCCCGGGGAGCCCCAGCCCGCGCGTGCAGCCTCATGTGTGCCCCTGGTCCAGACAGGACAAGGAGGCCTGGATCAAGGACAAATATGTCGAAAAGAAGTTTCTGCGGAAGCCACCCTCAGCACCAGCCCGGGAGGCCCCCCGGCGCTGGCGGGCGCAGAAGTGCCAGCGCCACCACAGCTCTCCCCGCGCCCCCACTGCCCGCCGCAAGATCCGGCTGGAGCCTATCTTGCCCTCCGTGGCTGCTCTGTCCTCAGGTGGGAGAGCTGTCTGCACGCTGCACCCTCGGCCACATAGCTGGGCAGGGGTAGGGAGAGGGCTGTAGCGGGGGATGAGCCACAAACCCTGGGCCCCTGGGAGGTCAAGAGAGGTGGGACAAGAGGAAAGGAGCAGGGGCTCACAGAGGCTCAACTCCCAGCATGACCTGGGGTCCCCCCTCCCGTAGCCTTAGTCCCCCGTCCCTGCAGCAGGCACTGTGGAGCGGCCCCCTCCCCTGACCTTAGTCCCCCACCCCCTGCAGCAGGCTCTGTGGAGGAGTCCCCTCCCCTGACCTTAGTCCCCCACCCCCTGCAGCAGGCGCTGTGGAGCGGCCCCCTCCCCTGACCTTAGTCCCCCACCCCCTGCAGCAGGCACTGTGGAGCAGTCCCCTCCCCTAACCTTAGTCCCCCACCCCCTGCAGCAGGCACTGTGGAGCGGCCCCCTCCCCTGACCTTAGTCCCCCACCCCCTGCAGCAGGCGCTGTGGAGCGGCCCCCTCCCCTGACCTTAGTCCCCCACCCCCTGCAGCAGGCACTGTGGAGCGCAGGTTCCGCAGGGATTCCCTCTTCTGCCCGGATGAGCTGGACTCCCTCTTCTCCTACTTTGATGCAGGGGCTGCGGCGGCCGGTCCACGCAGTAAGTGCTCCAAGGGCCCCAACCCCCTCTGTCCATCCCCTAGCCCAGCCAGGGCAGCAGAGCGTGGGCCAGGCACGGCTCACCCGGAGGGTGGACGAGTGTGGACAGCCTTGGCCACTTGCTCAGGGACTGGGGGGACAGGCATCCCTTGCAGGAGGGACTGGGCTGGGGGTGAGGAGAACTTGGGGGTCCAGCAGGGCTAAGGCTGGGACAGTTTCTCGAGGGGCTGGGGTAACTTGCCCACTCACTGGGAGACCAAGGCCATGACCGTCAACAGTGATGTGGGTGAATGTGCGTGTGCTTTGTGCACATAGGAGTATGTGTGTGAGTGTGATCGTGCACATGGGTGTAAATGTGTGAGGGAACGTGCATACAGCTGTACATGTATGGGGGGTGTGTGCTGAGGGCCCCGTGTGTGTATGCGTGTGTGTGCTGGGGGCCTGGACAGCTGTGTGCTGGAGCCAGCTCCTGAGAGATAATTGTAGGCATCTTGCCCAACCCCTCTTGGAGTTGAGGGGCAGATGCTACCAGTCAGGACTCTCCTCTGAAGGCTGCCTGTTAACGGTTCACACCACCCATCAGCCTGGGGCACACGCTGAGCCTTCCTGGGCAGTGTGGGCAGAAGCCATGGACCAGGGCCAAGAACTGGCAGGGCTAATGGGGGTGACAGGGGGGTGACCACGGGCAGCAGAGGGCGCTGTCTCACTGTCCCTAAGCCTGGGGCTCTTCTACTCGCTCTGCTGGGTGAGCTGGGCCAGAGTTCACTCCTGCTGCCTGGGGCCAGTGTCTTCAGGGCTTGGCAAGGACCCCATGGCTGCGCAGTGACCTCCCAGCATGGCCTGGCCACAGTCAGGGCTGAATGCTGCCAACTGCCCATCCTACTAGGGCTGACCGGCCAGAGGGTGGGCCTCCATGTGGGACAGTGCTTCTGGGGGACTACTGTGGCCCTTTGAGCTCTTACTAGGTTTCCCCCCGCCACTTGCATCCTGGGCAGGGCCCCCCAGACCTCCTGGTAAGGGCTGCTTCTGCCCGGGGCATCCCTGGAGAATGAGTTGGGGTCCGACCTTTCCCCAGGGCTCTGGGAGGAGTCAGGGACACTCAGGACCCCCTCTTCCCACCAACTCCGCAGGTCTGAGCAGCGACAGCGGCTTAGGGGGCAGCTCGGACGGCAGCTCAGACGTCCTGGCCTTCGGCGCGGGCTCTGTGGTGGACAGTGTCACTGAGGAGGGTGGGTGCATGCCCCCCCATCGCTGCAGCTGCGCCCCCGCTCCGCTGCCCCCGGCCCAGGTCGCAGCCCCTGACCACCCCTCTCCCCGCAGAGGGTGCAGAGTCAGAAGAGTCCAGCGGTGAGGCAGACGGGGAGTCCGAGGCCTGGGGCCTGGCAGATGTGCGCGAGCTGCACCCTGGGCTCCTAGCACACCGCGCAGCGCGCACACGTGACCTGCCCGCGCTGGCCGCGGCACTGGCCCACGGGGCCGAGGTCAACTGGGCCGACTCGGAGGACGAGGGCAAGACGCCGTTGGTGCAAGCCGTACTAGGGGTGAGCGGGCACGGGGCTGCGCGGGACGCAGGCACACTTGACGCTGCATCTGCAGAGCCCGCTCTTTGGGGTGCGCACACCAGGGCCCCTTGTCCTCTACTGGAGACTAGGCCCTGTCCCGTCTCGGGGTGCCCACGGGCCCTGCAAGGGGCCATTTTCCGGGCTCAGTCTGAACCACCCTGGATCTCCAGGGCTCCCTGATCGTCTGTGAATTCCTCCTGCAAAATGGAGCGGACGTGAACCAAAGAGACAGCCGGGGCCGGGCGCCCCTGCACCATGCCACGCTCCTGGGCCGCACCGGGTGAGTCGCGGTACCCCTCCACTGCAGGCCGGGGTCCTCCCTCTCACCCACCTCCCCGCTCGCCCCGATGCATCCCCTTCGCCCTTAGCCAGGTCTGCCTGTTCCTGAAGCGTGGGGCCGACCAGCATGCCTTGGACCATGAACAGCAGGACCCACTGAGTATCGCGGTCCAGGAGGCGAATGCGGACATCGTCACACTGTGAGTGTGGGTGGGGGTGTCATGGGTGGTGGAGGGATGCTGGGAGGGCACGGGGATGCAGGGGGTTGGTTCGGGGGCAGCAGGGGTGTCATGGGGTGGCAGGGATGTCACAGGGGGCAGGGGTGTCACAGGGGGGCGGGAGCACCTCACACTGCGCCTCCCCCAGGCTGCGTCTGGCGCGCATGGCTGAGGAGATGCGTGAGGCCGAGGCGCCCCCGGGCCAGCCAGGCCCCCTGGCGGGCAGCAGCCCCACAGAACTCCAGTATCGCAGGTGCATCCAGGAGTTCATCAGCCTCCATCTGGAGGAGAGCTAGGCGGGGGGGCCGGGCACCCGCGGATGCGGCTGGGGATCCCCGCCCAGCCCCTCTGCCCTGCCTGGCCACCACAGCCCTGCTTGGACTACCATGGGCCCGTTTCCCGAGAGCCGCCTGTCAGGTGCTCCTGGAGCCCCTGCTGCCTGTCCACCCTCCTCGGAGCTGCCAGACCCAGGGCCAAGAGAGGGCCTCCAGCACTATCTTCTCAACCCCACATTTCCCCTGGGGATGGCACCTCCCACCCCATATCTTCAGGCTACCCCTTCCTTGGGGGGCCTAGGTTGCTCGTGTCACAAACTTCTCTCAAGGTCCCATGTCACCTCATGCCCCTCTGTCCCCGGGGCCTGTGTCACTTTGTGCCCCTCTCTGGCCTCAGGGCCTGTGTCACCTCGTGCTCCCACCTTTACTGCCCCAGAACACAGACCTGCTAGTTGGGTCCTTCCTACATCCCCAGAGCCCCCACTAGGCCCTGGGGCTGGTGGCTGGCCATCCAGGGAATCAACCCGTGTACCTCACTTAGTGACCCCAGCATCCGGGCTGGGCTTCTTGGGTGCTGGTGGGGGGCTCTGGCCTGGGGCCTCAGCCCTGGCTGGACGCAGGCGTCCGAGGCCATGTGGCTGGCCACACAGGCCCCTGTCTGGGCAGCCCCAGACCTGTCCCTGCCTCCTCCAGAAGTACGTGGCCCAGAGTCGGTGCATAAAGGACTTTGGCACTTTCTACCCCTGCATCCGATGTTCTTTGTCACCGAGTGAGTGGATTTTCTACGACGACCTCATTCTCACTTTGTCTCATGTCCTTTCTCTGTGGACTCCCGAGGACCACCTTGACCCTGGCTCTGCCTGCTGCAGGGGGAGGCCCCTATAGCCCTGCCCTGCCCCTATAGCCCTGCCCTGCCCCCTCGCCAGCCTCACACCTTGGCGGGGCTGTCAGATGGGTCCAGGGGTCCCTCAGCTCCCTCCCCAGGGCCCGTTGATGCCTTCTGCGTTCCTCTTTCCTGGAGCCCAGGGGCAGGGCTGGACCTGTCCCCAACTTGGGCCCCTGGTCAGGCTAAGGCCAGTTGGCTGGTCACTATGCAAAGGCTGCCCAGGGAGGCTCCAGGCGCAGCAGGGTGGGCACTGGCCGGCCCCGCTCCCTTGCCTGCTGGCTGTAACCCCTAAAGAGCAGAGTAACTCCTCGTCTCTCCCTGCTTGAGCTCTGTCCCCAGCTCCCATTCCCCTGCCTGCGTCAGGGCCTCATGCCTGGGCCTCGGGCTGGCAGGACCGCCCCTGCTCCAGTTCATGGTAATAAACTGCTTGCACCTGCAGCCTGTCATTGGCTCTCCCGCCTCACTCTGCTCTGTCTCGGCTGGGGAGGGGTGGCTCTGCATTCCCTGTCTTCCCCGAGGGGTGGCCCTGAGTGGGGTAGCACCGCTGCCCGAAAAGATGCCACCAGCAAGGATGCAGCTGCAGCCTGCTGGGGGCCTGAGGGGAGGCTGGGACTTCTCTGATGAAAACTGGCTCATGGCACCCCAGCCCCCACTCCCTGGCCCCTCTGGTGAAGATGGGCTGGGCTAGGCTTGTCCCGTGGGCAAGTGTCCTCCTGTCCCCCAGCCCCACAGTGTGTCTGTGGCTCCAAGGAGTGGGGGTGCAGCCTGAGGCTTTTGGCTTCCCCGGGGAAGGGTGACGGCAACACGTGCCAGTCTCCAGGTGGAATTGCTGATTTTATTGCAGAGCAGCCCCAGGTCACTGAGTGCCTTGGCCTGGGCCTCCCACCTGACCTGAGCCGAGGGAGCCGCTGCCTGGTTCCCCCCCACACACAGGTGTAGATGGGCATCGTCCGTACACTTAGAAACACGCATGCAGACACACAACACTGACACCAAACACAGACATGCTCCCTTGCAGAGATGTGTGCAAAGACACTCACAGCCGAGACTCCTCAGCTGAGGCTCCTGCTGGAGTCCCTGAACATTTGAGGTCAGGCCCGCAGTCACTGGGCAATGGGGTGGCCTCTGGCCTGGGGCCAGACGCCCTTGTGGCCGCCCCTGGCTGGGACCTCCAAGCCCTGCGGAGCCGGCGGCAGCACAGCAGCAGGGCGAGGGCCGTGGCGTCGAGCAGCAGCTCCAGCAGCTCCAGGACAGAGAGGACGGATGAGCCGAACCACAGGCTCCAGAGGCTGCCCATGGCCGAAAGCAGCTGCGGCACCTGCGGCATCAGTGGGCAGTGAGTGGGCGCCCAGGGCCCTGCCGAGGCAGCGCCCAGTAGGCCTGGCCAGCCGCTGGCCCTGCCCCACCCCAGGCCCTTGGTCCCTGGCCAGCTCACCGAGTACACGGGCGTCTCGTCCACTGTGCGGTAGTTGAGCTCCTGGTAGAAGATGTTCATCTTGGCAATGTTGCTCCTGGGGTGGGGCAGAGGCATGAGGGGCTGGGCCCTGGACCCGCGTGGTGGGGTCACTGAAGGGCCAGGTTGGCCTGGGGCGGCCAGGATGGGACCTCTGGAGGAGGAGGGCTGCACTCACCTGGGGCTCTGGCTGGGCTTCTGGTGGCCCCGCTTGCCCAGCACAGCCAGGATCCAGTCCTGCACACAGAAAGCTTGCTGTGGCCGTGCTCGTCCCAGCCCTTGGGGCACTGCCGGTGAGTGTAAGGCAGGGACCTCAGGGGCAGAGGCTGGTCTAGCTGGGCTCTGCTTATCCGCCCCTCACCCACCCCTTCAGGGCACTCACTGCCGACTTGGAGGAAGGCCACCTGGAGGTCCCAGCAGAGAGCTTGTATGAAGACTCCCTGGGAGAGACAGACCCTGTCACACCCTGCTGTGGTGCCCAGGGACAGAGCCCCGACCCCAACCCCAACACTACCCACTCACCTGCAGGGCCTGGGGCAGCGGGAGGCGCAGGGGAGCCGGTGGGTCTCCAGGTCCCGGTAGAGGCGGTAGAAGCAGTGTCCTGGAGAGGTGGTCACGTGAACCCGTTAGGAGCAACCCAGGGGTGGCGGGAGGTTTGTGGGTTGACAGGGCCCATGGGTGGCAGTGGGCGGGTCGGGGGCTCACCCCAGGCTGGGTGCCGTGTGTAGCTGCAGTACTCGGCCCCCACTGGCAGGGGGTAGAGGTAGTAGCCGCAGGAGCAGGTCTCCACCATCAGCTGCTGGAAGCAGGAGACCAGGCAGGCCTGGGGGGACAGCAGGGGACCGGAGCTGGACATGCCGGGGCTGCCGTCCTTCCCCAGGGTCTGCCTGCTGCCAATCCACCTCTCTCAAGGCCCGCCCACCCTCCTCAGGCCCTCCCCCTCCCCTGACCCCACCCCCAACAGCCCTAGACTCACCTGCATGGTGTACGTGGCATTGTAGAGCAGTGGCACGTCCACAGCCTCCATGCCGTCCGAGCAGTGGCCGTAGGGGCTCCCAAGCCTGTGCACCTCGTCCTGTGGGGTGGGGGGCTGCTTCAGCTCTGCTGGCCCTGCCCTCGAGGACCCTCAGTTGGGCAGGGAGGTTGGGGCCCCTCCTCTGCCCTGCCTCTGGGCCAGCTCACCTCTCGGATGCCAATGGTGGTCTCTGTCCCTGGCCGGATGCTGAAGCCGCGGTGCTCCAGGAAGGGTGTTTGGTTCCTCCTGTGAATCATGACCTTGATGCCATTCTCCGTGGATAGTAGAGGGAGGTGGTCCTGCTGCTCCGTCCTGAGGACCAGACTGATCCCTGGGGGAGGCCAAGGGTGAGGCCAGGCTGGCCTGGACGCCCCTGCCCACACCCAGCCTGGGGCGGGCACTCACCATGGGTGATGCCCGGGTGCTGTGCGGCCCAGGCTCCATTGAAGGTGTAGCAACTGCCGTAGGTGGGATGGTGGAACGTCTGGAAGTGCCTGGAACCAGGGGCCATGCTCAGACCACCACATGCCTTCCGCCATCACCCCCTGCCCATGGCCCGCCTCATCTCTGGAGGGAGCTGTTTTGGGCCAGCCAGACAACAGGGGTGGCACCCACCGGCCCCACCCCCACTCACCGGGCCTGGCAGTCCCGGCCGTTGTAGCGACAGGAGAAGACAAAGTGGCCGCCGTGGCTCCGGTGGCTGTCCTCTCGGGTGGGGGGCAGCAGGGCCAGGATGTTCATGTAGTGGAAGCGGTACCACTCTCGGGCGGCCGTCACGCCTGACGAGTAGACCCGGTAGAAGCAGTCGCCGCCGGTGCTGTTACACTGAGGGGCGTGAGGTCAGGTCCACACAGTCCCTCCACCACCCACGCCCAACACAGCACCCTGCAGGGGACCCTTAGGGCTAGGGACACTCACCAGTCTGAAACCCACTTTGCTCTGGCGGCCTGGGTGGTTCAGCCGCTGAAGGCGGATCCCACGGTCCAGCTGGAAGGAGGGCTCGGGGCCCAGGTCCTCAGCGAAGGGGCCCTCCCAGCTCTCGCTGAAGTTGAACTTGTAGAGGGAGTAGATATTCTCCTGGGCAAACTCATCCAGCGCCTGCAGATGGCGGCGAGCGGGGCTGGGCCTGGGGGCCGGAGAGGGAGGGCGAGTTGAGTCCCCAAAGGCCCTCTGCGCCAGTCACAGGGCACTGCTGGGGAGCCGTGCCGGACATCAGGGGACAGCAGCCCCACCCCCTCCTTGCACGCCTGCAGTCGGGAGCAGGGCTGCAGGGGGAAGCAAGGCCCTCCAGCCTGGCCTGGCTGCCTTGTGGAACCCACCATCCTCCCACAGCCTCCCCACCTGGGCTGTTGTCCTACCCCCTTCTCCTGGGCCCCTACGTGAAGCCCAGCTCCAGGCTGCACTTCTGGAAAGCCCCCTACTTCCCCTCACCCTCCCCGGCTGCCCAGCGCCCAGTGTCCCTCTAGGGCAGCACTGATCACACCAAACCCCAACTGGCTCTTCCTTGTCATCTAACACCCACCCCCCCAGGGTCAGAGGTCTCAGAGGTCCCAGTGGGCACAGGGGCAGGGTGAGGTGGGGACAGGCTGCCTGAGCCAGTGGGGCTTCCACTGTGACCACATCTGGGGAGATGCCTGCAGGCTGCAGAGGTGAGGAGTCAGGAGCCCTCAAGCTGCCCTCCACCTCTGATCCTCACCCTTGCCCCCACCCCTCATCCTCACCCCCCACCCCGCATCATGTTGCCAGCCCTCACCCCTGCTGCCTGCCCCCACCCCACATCCCCACACCCCACCCCTCATCCCAGTCCCCAGCACTCACCGGTGGGGGTTCATGTCACACAGAGTGACCGACGGGAAGAGCTTCCGCTCAGAGTGCACAGACACCGTCATGATGACCGGGTAGCGCCAGTACTGCTCGAAGAGGAGCCCAAATTGCCAGTAGAGCGCACCCAGGGCGCCCACGAGCAGCAGCCCCCAGGACGCCGTCTTGAGGCGGTTCTGGCGGGAGCAGACCAGGCGGATGGTGCCGTGGATGGTGGCATTGGTGCAGAAGAAAGTGAACAGCTCCCTGAAAGAAGTGTGCAGCTCCACCAGCCTCTCCCCTGGCCTGTCCTCGGGTGGCAGCGGTCTGTCCTCGGGCCGTGGTGGCGTGTCCTCAGGCAGCGGCGGCAGTGGTGGCTGGCCCTGGGGGTACTTCCAGATCCCGAGTCCCTCACTGGTTGTTTGGACCACAGTTCCAGCCTGCGGCCGAGAAGCCAGCCTCAGCAGGGCACAGCCCGCCACCCAGCTGACCCCCAGCCAGGACTCCCCACCTCAGACCAGTTGGACTTCCCTTCTCCATCCCTGGGAACTCCCGGACAGTCATGTTCCTCAGCCACCGACGGCTCAGCACAGCCTGCTGACACTCGAAAGAGGCCCCATCAGAGGCGTGTCCACACTTGGGACTGACCCCACGCCATCCCCGAGACACCTGGCCTGGCACCAGGCAGCCTCCTCTGGCATGTCCTATCATGGCCAGAGCCAAGCCTGGGCAGTGGGGGCGGGGACAGCAGGGGACATGGGGTCTGGGCTCCACCTGGCCCTGTTTGCAGGCGGACTTGAGACGGGGTGGGTCTCTGCTGCTGTCCCCAGAGTGGGGCAGGGGCCTCTGAGGAGGTACAGGCCAGGTGACCTGCTCGGGGTGGGAACATTGTTGTGTCTGTGTCCCCAGAGCCCAATGTTGGGGGTCTGGGGGCCCTGGGAAGACTTGACTGTGGGCCTAGATGGCCTCTACCAACCGTCAGCGGCCAGCATGGCCATGTCTGATTGGGACTGACAGAGCCGGGCTGGTCCAGCCACGTCTTGGCCAGGGGTCCGGCTTGAGTGTTGTTCAGTGCTGCGGGCCCCAGGTGGGGCATTCTCCACCCAGCTGAGTCCCTTGGGAAGCCCCATTCGTGGACCCTGGGCTTCAGGAAAAGAAGGTAGGGGGGCTGGCAGGCCAGCCAGTGGTGGGGACCTGAGAGCCTCCCAGAAGTGGAGCCACAGCTGGCCAGCCCCCACTGCAGCTCTGGAGGCTTCAGCATCCCAGGACCCTGGGCCCTCAGACCCTCAGCTCCCCCGGTGCACAGGGATGTGGGCCCTGACCAGGCCAGGCCTGCTGACACTGGACATGCACTGAGTCACCACACAGGCTTCCCACGGGCTTTCCACACTGTCCCCATCTTGGTCTGAATCATTAGGCCTCTTTGCCTGGGCGCAGCCTCTTGGGCTCTGGGGACTGGGCCTGGGCTGGCACCTGGGGGGTTGACGCAGGGGAAGTACCTGTTGCACCTCAGCCACAGTGTAGGCCAGGTGTGCCCAAGCAGGCTGCTCCCATGTGCTCTGGGAACATGCATGTTAGAGCAAGCCAGCCAGCTTGTGGGGCCCAAGGCACGAGGTGGGGGTGGTTCGGTCTCCCCCACCCCAGCCTCGGGTTTGTGGGCCCCCTCGTGCCTGTCGGCAGCCTGGCCAGAACCATATGGCAGCACAGGGTGCTGATGGTGGGTCCCACATAGCGCAGACCTCTGCCCACACGTGTGTCCCCATGACCACACCGAGCCCTCACAGGTAAGGCAGGACTCTCAGCTGTGTGTTACAGATGAGACAAAGGGGACTCTGGAAGGTTCTTTCTGACTCCAGTGACCACGTTTCCCCTCCCCAGACATGTGTCCCAGACCAGCCCCCTCCCGCCCCAGTTGGGGCTGCCAGGGCCCAAGGGGCAGCTTAGAGCCTCCAGGGATTCCTGAGGGAGGGTGGGTTCCACACACCCAGACAGAGGGCCCAAGATGCACGGGGACGAAGGTGGGCACTTGGACACAGCAGGAGCGGGGTTACACAGCCCCTTCAGACACACACACACGTGCATGCACACACACTGCTTTCACACTCACTAAGCCCTCAGTCGGTGGGGGCCAGGTGACCAAGGAGGGCTGCATGACCCTCCTGCCCTCGCCCTGTGTGTGTCCGCTCCAGGCAACGAGTGGGACACAGCCCCTCCATAGGAGAGGGGGACCCCAGGAGATGACCCGCCCGGCTGCCCCCGTGTGGGAGGAGGAGCGCAGCCTGCCCCCTCGGTACCTTGAAGCAGGAGCCTCTGTGTGCAGATGCCTCCATCCCCCGTGGCGGGCGGGCAGCTGCAATAGCGTGGCTCCAGCAGGCGACAAGATGGGATGTGGCCCGACACCAGCGGGCAGCCTCCTATTTATGACAGGCCGGCTGGGGCTGGGCGAGGCTTTGGGGAGGGGCCTGCCAGCCAGGCAGCCACACCTGCTCTGGACCCAGGAGGGGAAAACTTTGGGGCCAGGGACTGGGGGCTCTTCCCCTACCCATGGGCAAGCCCTTCTTGCCAGAGGGTCAGGAGCGAGGCCTGGGACCCTGACCCTGGCTGGGGGTGAGGGGCTCGCAGTTTCTGGAGGGAGAGGAGAGGCCCATGTGGGCTGAGACCCCCTTGGACGCCGGATCTGCCCTTCCCTGAGCAGCCCTTCCTGACTCCTGATGCCCGGATCTCCCTCGGGTCAGACACCTACTCTTCCCTCTCCCAGTAGGCCCTGGCCCTAAGCCTCCCTGCCCGCCGTCCTGCCAGGCCTAGGAGGGGTGCCTGCTTGCCACTGCCTGCCTGGCTTTCACTGCCAGTTCTGACCACAGGTGTTTGTGGCCAAGGGACACTGGGCAGGGGCCTCTGTGCCAAGAACCCAGGTGTCCCCAGGGCCAGCCGCCCAGCCACTGGGATGGGCGCTAATTGTGGGAGCCACTTGGGGCGTGGGTGTGGAGATGGCACCAGGAGCCTGTGGCACATGGCTCAGCCTCCCTGTGGACACGAAGGCCACTGCTGACCACACTACACACCGAGACGACATACCACCCACAAAGATGATACCGTGTGTCTGGGCCACACATGCTAAGAACACACACCACACTCAGGTGTGAGGCCAATGGTGTGTTGAAGGCAGGACACCTGTCTCCGTTCTAGGAAGACCCCCACCTTGGCCCACTGGGGGACCCAACATGTCTCCAGGACTGCCCAGGGGCTTTACCATCCCAGATGGACAGACTCTCAGCCTGGTCCCAGGTTTGAAGGGTCAGCTCAGGCCCTGCTGCCCCCTCCTCAGGGCCGGCTCTTGGTTCCTGACATCCAACCCCAAATCAGTGCTGAGGACCTGAGCTGAGGTGAGGCAGGGAGCCCCCACCTCCACTAGGCCCTGCTGGTGGGGCCTTGGCTCTGAGGAGGAGTGAGGTCACCAGCCTTGCGCCTTCGAAAGGAGGCAGAGGGTCACCAGTGACGTCTGGGAGAGGGAAGTCCGGCTCAGGGAAGAGCTGGTCCTGGACTCTCCCGGGTGTGGGTGCGAATCACGACTCTGTCACTCACAGACTGTGTGACCTTGCTCGACTTACTCAACCTTTCTGAGTCTGTTTCCCCAAGTGCAAAATGGAGCTGAGTTTCCTCTTCATGCTCGAGGCTCAGACATGGGACCGGCTGATGCCACTGGTGTGGAGACCCTCCTCTCGGGGCCAGTGTCAGAGTCCCTGGACTCAGCACGAGCCTGGGGTGTCTCAGGCTCTCCACCCCCAAGTGGTTTTCCTTCAGAGGGGGCGGGCTGTGTCATCAAGGGGATGGGGTGCACCACCCCGGCGAAGCCCCCGAGAAGAGGAAGGCCCCAGGTGCTCTGGGTGATCAGAACGGGAGAGACCTGTATTGCCCAGGGTCCTGGAGTTTGCAAAAGGGAGCCATCTGGAAAGAGGGGCCGTGGGAGGCCAGGTCTGGCCAGGGGGTCCTGGCTGACTGAGGGCAGCTTGCGGGGAGCAGGAGCCCCGCCTTCTTGTGGGCGATAGAGTCCAGGCCAGGGTGAGGGCTGGCCTGCGAGCACCCCTGTCCTCAGGACTCGAGTCATGGCTCATCCGGGCAGGAGCACAAACCCTCCTTCCCTCTTTCTGGAGAAACATGTGAGGCCGCCCAGGTGCCATGAGAAGGCTCGGGGACTGTGGGTCAGTGACAGGCTCCATACCCACATCCAGACCCACGGGCAGGGGAGGAGGCCACTCGAGAGCCCGCTTGTAGGAGGCAGAGGGGGACTCCAGCTGCCTGGCCGGGACACAGAGACTGCATCCAGTGGCAGTGAGGCCGGCAGCCTCTTCTCCCTTCGCGGCCCCTCCCCTCACCCACTCCAGGCCCCGCTGTCCTGAGAGGAGCAGGCGGTGGAGGCTGGGACAGGATAGGGCGTCCCCTGCTCCTGGCACAACGTGGGCCCGCGTGGTCACTCCTCAATAGCTGTATGTTATAAGAATGTGAGAATGCTGGAGAGAAGGCACAGGCAGGTGGCCCCACATCCTCCGCCCTCTGCCCGGAAGGATGGCTGGCCCACCCTGCTGAGCACGGCCCCTGTTGGGCCTTTGAGTGATGGCCTTCACCGAGGCTGGGCCTAGGGGTACCAAGGTGTCTCCTTCCAGGCCAGGGCTGCCCTGGAGATTGGGGTGCCTGGTGTCTTGTGGGACCCTCAGGTTCAGCTTCCCTGGGCGTCCCCACCTTCAGGGGCAGCTCAGAGTTGGCCCTGGGGGGATTCTGCTGCAACAGTTGTAAAGTCTGATTCCTGGTGAGCGTGGACAGGCAGAGGTCATCCTCTCTGGGTGACACTGCCTGTGCGTGCCTCAGGGTCTGACCAGGTGCCTCTCATTGGAAGGGGTGGAGTGTGTGCACCCTTCTTCCCGGGTCACCTCCAGGCTGGCTCTTTGGTGCCCTCCTTTTGGCCCTCGCCAGATGGTGCATTCTGGTCAGATGTGGCCGAGGCCTCAGGTCCTACTGGGGAGAGGGTAGCAGTAACCGGTGGGGGTGGTTCTTGGTTCTAACCTTTCTCAGTTTCCCGGGAGTCCCTATGACATGGAGGGTGGCCCCCATCCAAGATGCTCAAGAGTGAATGCCACTGTCCCCTTCCTGCAGCTTGGCCATTGGCAGAGCTTGCTGGTAGGAAGTACCTCCTGAGGGCCAGTGCCAGCCTCTCCTGCTCCAGAAGGGCAGCCCTGAGGTTTGAGAAGGTCCCAGTCACCACCTGCTGCCAGCATAGCTGCCTACTCCCATCCTGACTGCTGAGGCCACCAGCTCTACAGCCAGAGGGCTGGGCATCCTGGGTCTTGCTGACTGGAAGGCAGCATACTTGGGGCTGGTGGGGTGCGGGCCGTGGGGTCTTAGCAGGACCTGCTGGCCATACCCATCTGGGGCACCTTTCCCTCAGGGTGTGACTCAGGGGTGCTTGATGAGCAGGAGGCTGGAGGCTGATGCCTGAGTGCTGTGAGCTGAGCCTCCCTCTGCAGGCTTCTCTTTGGGAAGCTCCCACATAAGCTGGCACCCCCATTTTATACAGGGAAAGACTGAGGCAAAAGAGGGTCTCTGTCTGCTGAGACCCCAGGCCCACACTGTCACTGCCCATGCTCTGCAGGTGTGCGTGGGTGTGCTCCAGACACACCTGTGCTGAACCCCCAGGTGCTCCGGGGTGACCTCCCTTGAATAGCTTTCCACACGGTAAGAAGAGCTGGGCCCGCCCTGCGTGGGATGGCAGAGGCCTCTGAGGCAGTGGAGTGAAGGTGCGAGGCCAAGATATTTTCTGAGTGCAGCAGCAGGAGGCGGAGCCTGGGGCCCCCAAAAGGAAGGAGGCCTCTCCAGAAGGAAGGAGGCCTCCCCAGAAGGAAGGAGGCCTCCCTAGAAGGAAGGAGGGCCAGGGCTGGGTGACTGGCGGGAACGGAAGCAGGCTGGATTCCCACGGGCTGACTCGCCTGGCTGTGGACTGATGGGACAATGGGCACTCCTTCTGGGTTCTGCCCAGGGCCTAAGGCCAGCCCTGCAGTGGCTGCTCAGATCCTGACTGTGGTGCCCTGGGTAGGCCAGAAGCAGGGATAAGCATGGCCACCCGCCTGCCCTCTGCCAGTGGCCATGGCTGGACCAGCCAGTGCCCGAGGTCCACTGTTAATTGTGTGGTCAGTCACCTTGTTTTGACCAGTGGTTTATCCTGAGAGGCAGTCAGAGTCATGGAGAAGGATGTGGACTCAGGGTTCAGCCCCCTACTGGTGGTGCACAGAGCCTGCTGCACAGCGATGGCCCCTCTGGACCTGTCCAGGCTTATGACCACCACCTGCCTCAGACGCCCAGCACAACCTGTGGGGGGACACCCCTGACCCCCACTAGGCCCTATCCTGGGCTGCCTCTCCAGGCAGGGTGGTGGTCAGTGTGCTGGCCCGCCCAGCCACCCAGCCCTCTCCTCACCCAGACACCAACTGTCCCACCCCCACCTGTCTGCCATCCTCAAGTCCTTCCAAATCCTCCCCCAGGACAGATGTGAGGAGGTGATGACCAGCTCCAGGCTCCTGGTCATGGCACTCCCCATGCTGTCCTGAGGCAGCTCCACCTGCCTGCTTCAGTTCCACTCACATGGCCGGGTGGCCAAGCTCTGCCTCCCCCTCCCCCAGGGCCAGGAGGGGACCGTGGGAGCGGAAAGCGAGCCTCAGTGCAGCATCCACTGGTGCATAATGACCCTATTCATCGGCTAGGCGGAAAATGCAGCCAGGAAACAGTGGAACTATTTTTATGAGGACGGCGTTCCCCATGGGCAGGGGCTGGGAGAGCTGGCCCACGATGGACCCCACCTGGCACAGGTTCCGCCAGGGCTCCCCGTCCCCACGCCTCAATGGTGGCCAGACAAGGCCGGCCGGGACTGGAGTCTCGGGGCCCGGGGCCTCGAGTGCCTCCTGCCCTCTGTTCAGTGGCCACGAGAATTGGGCCCCCAGGACGGACTGGGCCGGTCCTTTGGAAGGTAGCCGGCGGGAGAGTCGGGGTCCTGGGGTCCCGGGGAGTTCAGGGCAGGGCGCAGGTGGCGGCGCCGCCCGACTCACTCCAGAACTGGGCCTGTCTCCCGGGGACGGCGCCCCGCTCTCGGCCGGAGCCCTCTCGGTCCGGGGTCGTGGGGAGGGGACTGTGGGGGTGGGGGATTCCAGGACCCCTGCGGCCGCTGACTGACCCTGGGGCCGCCCGTTGGACAGCACCCTGGCCGAGGAAAGCCCAGGGGGAAAGCGGCGGCGTGATCACCGGCGGAGGTGTCCAAGGTCCAAACCCAGGGGGCTGGCCACCAGTGCGCACGCGCAGACCGTCCTCCCCTGGGGCCCCGCCCCGCGGAGCTACTTGCGAGTGCGCACGCGCCAACCTTCCCCACCTCGGGCCCGGCCCCGCGGAGCTGCCCGCCGGTGCGCACGCGCCGACGGTTCCCGCCTCGCGGGTCGGGAGGCGGCAACGAGATGCAGGGGACGTCCGCCCGGCCGCCTAGAGCGGCCGCCCCCCGCGCGCAGCGCACCGGAATCGGAAGCGAGGACGGCCCCGCCCCGCGAGCGGCCATCTTGGAAGCTGAGGCAGCGGCGGCGGCGGTGGTCGGTGGGACAGGTCCCGGCGCGGCGTGGCTCTCCGGCGTGGGCCCACTACCCCGCTCCCTGCTCCGGCCTCGACCACGGCGAGCCCGAGCGCGGAGGCGGCCCACGCGCGGCGACGGGGAGAGGTGAGCGCGCGCCGGGCCTCGCCGTGCGTTCCCCCGCCGGAGCCGGCCCTAGCGGGGCGCGGGGCACCGGGCCTCCACGGCGCGGCCCGCCCCACAGCCTCCGTGCGCGGAGCCGGGGTCGGTTACGGCAGGGCGCCCGGGCTCTGGGCCGGGTGGGCCTCGCCAGCGCGGGGCTGGTTGGGCGCGCGGCTGAGTCGTGCGGTAGGGCCTCGTGGGAGCGGCCCCACGGGCGCCTCCGGGACGAGCCGGCCGGCCCGGGTCTGTGATGCGCCGGGAGTCCGCGGTGGGCGGAGCGGGGCCGTCTGCCCGCCGCCGCTTCCCCGCGAGCGGTCGGCACCCCACCTGCGTCCTGAGCCCCAGCAGGAGTGAGTGTGCCCGGGACTGCGCCCTGGGGGCTGGAGAGAAATCCGGGGGCCGAAAGTCGGCCCGGGCCGCCTCGCCGTCTGTGCCGCCCTAGTCCGCGTCTGCTGAATGCGCGCGCCGTCCCCGCCTCCGGCCGGGGTCAACCTTCTAGCCTGTCACTCGGTTAGCACCGTTTAGCGGGTCTGTGTTTAATTCAAATCCGGTTCCCACCCACTTGCCGGGCCCAGGCAGAAGCGGCTAAAGAGAGGTAAGGCCGCAGCCCGGCGGGAATAGATGTAGTGAGTGTGTGGGAATACCCACGCGGCGGTATAGGGCTCTGCTCGCTCCAGGTGAGTGAGACCTGGTGTCGTCTGGCTTCAGTAGAAAGGACCCAGAGGGTGTCACTTAGTGGGAAAGGCCAGTGTGCACACTTCAGGCACGGTGGGATCCTGGTGCCTGGAACATGCAGTCCCTAATCTGCACTTCCCGCAGTGCTGACCTCTGTGCAGCTCCATCCTCAGGCAGGTGCGTAAGTGGTGGTGGGGCTGCCTCCGGCGGCCCTGGGCATCCATCCAGCCTATGAAGCAATTCTCATGGGGAAGGGAGAGACTTCCGTTAAAGTACTGGGCATGGGTGTGTCACGTGCCCATCCGGTCGGTCAGGCCAAGGTCTCCTGCCACACCATCACCTGAGTTCTCCTAGGCATGGTGGGACCACATCTGGAGAAAAGGGAGCAAGGGAAGCGGATGCCGGGCACACGGCAGGTCTGTCTCAGTGTGAGACTGAAGGACTCCTGCCCTGTGATGTTGCGTCGGCTGTTTTCTCTCCGCTCCTGTGTATTAAAATTTTTTGTCCATACCATTTTTGTCGTCTTTGTCTACGTTCTCTTCCCTTCAGTGTAATGTATCTTGTTTGCTCTGTCAGTGGGGACTTGGTGCGAGGGAACCGAGACCTGTTTAGTGGTCTGTGCAGGTGCTGTAGATATGCTTAGAGGGGACGATGGGGAGACACTGTCCCAGCTGAAATCTGGGGGCTGTGAGAGCACCGCCCTGAGGGAGGCCAGGGAGGGGCGGATGGGAGCCCTTTCTTTTTGTGAACTGAGCAGTTGAATCATAAACACGATTTTAGAGATTATGCTTTTGAAAGCAAGAACGAGAGAAGTTTGTAGTGATGGGCAGGGCAGGGTCTGTTTTATTTATCTTGTGTGGCTGTCCACTGCCTTCCATTCAGCGTCCAGCCTGGCTGCTTCACCGAGTCCAAACACTTGTGCTTGAGTTATCCAGCAAGGTGTTTTGTGTATGAGCGTTAACTTCAGGGTGAGCATTTAAAAGAAACAGAACAGTCCTCCGTGGTGGTTCTGCTTTTGGGTGTTTGCTGTGGGTGTTAGTAGGTGTTGGCCCAAGGTGAGGCACCTGGTCCATTTGGCTTCTTGGGTCAGGATCTTCAGGGTGGTGCTGGGTGGGAAGCATGCCCTTCCCAGGCTGTCAGTGGCTTGCGTCTGCTGCCGGCACACCAGTGATTTCTGCTAGGGCCTGCCAGGCACCTGTGTGATGTGGAGCTGGGTTGCAGGGAGGCCGTTGAAGGACAGAGGGTGGAGGCTTTTGACCAGGAAGGCGTTTGAGGGACTTGGCTCTCAAGCTAGGCCAGGAAGGGCCTAAGTGAATTTTCTGCCAGTAGAGACGGCAGAAGTAGGGAAGCAGCCATATGATCAGGATGAGAAGGGAGTTTGGCACTCCAGCAAATCACGGGCCTTGGGAGTCAGGAACTAGGAGGGCTGGCTGGGGCTGTTTTGTAGAGGGCTTGGCAGGCAGGGGGAGGTGTTCACGTTTTTTTGCTCAGCTGTGGAGGAATCTTGAAGGGCTGTGATCAGAACTGTGCATTGAGAAAGTTACTCTGACTCAAGTGTGCAAGATGGACTGAAGTGGGGAGAGACTAGAGGTCGGGAGGCCAGTGGGGAGGCGTTGTGTTAGGTGGGAAAAGTAATGAGATGCTGCGTTAGGGTGAGTGTAGTGGGAATTGGAAGGAGGAAGGGCACGAGGATCCTGAGGTTCAGGGACCCCAGAACGAGAAGCAGGGTTGGGCGATGGTGCGCACAGGAGGACCCCTGTGGGTGCCCTGGCTGAGCCTTCCTTTGCAGGCCCTGGGGGTGTGGAGCGAGCACTCAAAGCCCAGTTGTAGTCTGGTGGGGATAGTGCTCTGAGGAGCATGCAGCCGGGCAAATGGGCCAGGAGTCCACAGACCCCTCTGACGAGGTAATGTGTAGGCAGAGACTGAAGAGAGGGAAGGAGTGAGCGTGTGGCTGTCGCCAGGGAACAGAAAGTGCAAGGGCCCGGAGGCTGCGGAAGGAGGGCAGGTACAGTGGGGGGTGGAGTGACTTCAGGTTTGTGCTGGCCGGGATGTCAGGGTGGAGATCCTGGCCTCTGGGGTCCATTGCTGTGGCAGGACAGGTTAGGGACACTGAGTGTCGGTGCCGTGGAGGTCCCTTAGGTGTTGTAAATGTAAATGTGTATTTTTGACAGATGAGCAACAACAGCAGTAAGAGAGCTCCGACAACAGCTACCCAGCGACTGAAGCAGGACTACCTGCGAATTAAGAAAGACCCGGTGCCTTACATCTGTGCTGAGCCCCTCCCTTCCAACATTCTTGAATGGTAAGGCCTGCGTCACCCACTGTCGCCTGGGTTCTCTGCTGGCCGGGTTGGGTGGGCTTGGCGCTGGGAAAGTGCACCTGCACCCTTCCAGGTGTGAGCAGACTGAGGCCCACAGACACGCTCTGGTCATCTTCATAACGGCCAGCAGCTGGGGACACGACAGGTCCTCCTTGACTCCTGTACACTGGGGCTGAAGGGAGTCCTTCCTGGGGCCAGACTGGTCTGCGGGGAGGCTGTCGGGGAGGCTTCGGGCTGGGCAGGGCTCACAGCTCTTAGAGGAGAGACTGCATTTCTAGACTCTTCTCTGCTCTTTGCCTCTTGTTGCTGTGAAGTGGCCCATCCTGCCTTCGAGAGTTGGTGATGGGGGGACAGGGTTCCTGACCTCCAGCTCCTGGCAGTGGCCGGGCACATGCCTGAGAGGATCTGTACCTTGTGAACATTTGTTTCATAGTGGGTCTTTCATTGTGTTAAAGTTTCGTTACGAGGCTGCATGCCTCTACAGAAGTGCTGTCCTTCCCAGGTTTGCTGGTGATTTTGTGAAAAATAAAGTGTAGGGCTGAGGTATTAAGAAGCATTTTCTCTTTGTTGAAGGATGTTTTTATGTTTTGATCTTAAAAAGTACTATTCAACTTTTTTTTTAATCCAGAGAAAAGAGATTTAACTGAGTTAACAAGAAGTATTTTCTAGGTTGGACAGGTGTTCAAGGATTCTGAGTCCACCTTCCTTGGCTTACAGAGAAGGGCCACTTCCACCAGGGAATGGAGGAGTCTCAGGGTGAGGTGGACCTCACGTGTGAGTGAGGGTCAGTGTCGCAGCAGAGCTCTCCCTGCCCCCAAAGGGCATAAACTCAGTGGGGCCCCCAGGATGTAGCTGGCAGGTGGAGGGATGGGTTCCATGGCACTTGCAGGAATATCCTCATTTTGTGGGAAATTCCTCCCTACATGTGAGTCGGGGTCCCCAGGTTCCATCACTGGCTAGGAGGACACACCACTAAGGTTTATTATGGTGAAAAGACAACAAAATCAGCAAAGGGAGAAGGCACAGGGGCAGAGTCCACCAGAGATCAGGCCTGAGCTTCCCGTCCCTGTGGACTCACAGGATGCACTGAATTCCCCTGCAGCGAGCTGTGACAGCCATGTGGGGTGCTGTCCATGGAGGAAGCCAGTGGGGGCAGATGGCGTAAGCACCTCTGCTGGCACCTGCCGTATCCCAGACTCCAGCAGGAAAGCAGGTTTTCTTTAAACATAAAATCTAAATTGTTTGCACAAACAGTTAGGTGCTGTTGACGTGGGGAGGTGCCGCCCCCCAATCCAGTTTGCAGATGGTGGCTGAGGGCAGCAATGTGGGCCCTTATGTGAGGTCTCCTGCCCAGCTGTGGGGGTCTCTCCCCCGGCTGGGAGAAGAGAAGAGCCTTCTAGAAAAAGTCTGTCTTCACTCCACCCCAGGGCTGCTGGGCACCCTTGGGCACTTGCTCACCATCCCTTCCCAGTGTTCTCAGCCTGGGTGCAGGAATTGGGAGTGACAGGCGAAGGCCACATTCCTGCGAATGTCATGTGCTTAGCTCTGAGGGTTGTCCCTGCTCCCTGACAGTGGGTGAGAAGACTTTCTGAGTCAAACATAGCAGCAGATGGCAGGTGTCGTGTCGTCCCCAGCGTTAAGGCGACGTACATGTGCTGGTAGGAAGAGTGGAGGGATGGTTATCAAA